AGGGGCTGCTGTGTGTGTGTGTGTGTGTGTGCCCATATATAGGGGCTGCTGTGTGTGTGTGTGCCCGTATATAGGGGCTGCTGTGTGTGTGTGTGCCCGTATATAGGGGCTGCTCTGTATGTGTGTGTGTGTGTATCTGTCCATATGTAGGGGCTGCTGCGTGTGTGTGTGCCTGTATATAGGGCCTGCTGTGCGTCCATCTGTCCATATGTAGGGGCTGCTGTGTGTGTATATGTTCATCCTGTGTAGGGGTTGCGCTGTGTGTCTGTCTGTCCATACGCAGGGGCTGCTGTGTGTGTGTCTGCCTGTATGTAGGGGCTGCTGTCTGTGTGTGTATCTGTCCATATGTCTGGGCTGCTGTGTGCGTGTCCGTCTGTGTTTAGGGGCTACTGTGCACGTGTCTGCCTGTGTGTTGGGGCTGTTGTGTGTGTGTGTGTATCTGTCCATATGTAAAGGCTGCTGTGTGTCTGTCCATATGTAGGGGCTGCTGCGTGTGTCCGTCTGTGTGTAGGGGCTGCTGTGCGTCCGTCTGTCCATATGTAGGGGCTGCCGTGTGTGTTCATCCATGTGTAGGGGCTGCTGTGCATGTGTCTGTCCGTATGTACATCCATGTGTAGGGGCTGCTGTGCATGTGTCTGTCCGTATGTCCATCCATGTGTAGGGGCTGCGGTGTGTGTGTCCATGGCTGCAGATGGCAGGGGTGAACTGGGCAGGGGCTCGGGTGGCGGGAGCTGCTCCCGGGCTCCGGCACGGTGCAGGTTGGAGCGCCAGGATGCTGCGGCTCAGTGCATGGGATGGCGCAAGTCGGTGCATCAAGATGTGCATGGCGGTGCACCGTGAGCACCCACGTCGCTGCATGAGCACGATGCATGTTGGTGCATCAGGATGGCGCGTGTCTGTGCACCAGGATGATGCATTTTGGTTCAATAGGATGATCCGTGTTGGTGCATCAGGATCGTGTGTGTCTGTGCACCAGGATGGTGTGTGTCCGTGCACTGGGACCACGCATGTTGGTGCACTGGGATGATATGTGTTGGTACACCAGGATCGGGCATGACCAGGATGATACATGTTGGTGCACTGGGATAACGTGTTGGTGCACTGGGATAACGTGTTGGTGCCCTGGGGCGATACATGCTGGTGCATCAGGATGGCACAGGCTGGTGCACTGGGGCAATACGTGTTGGTGCACCAGGATGGCACGTGTTTGTGCACCAGGACGATATGTGTTGGTGCACTGGGATGACACATGCTGGTGTACTGGGGCAATACGTGTTGGTGCACCAGGATGGCACGTGTTTGTGCACCAGGGTGATGTGCACTGACACGTGTGACCCCCCAGACCCCCGCCCCACACTCAGGCGTTTCCCTCCATCAGAAACCCGTCCCCACCGCCCATCCCCAGGCGAGGGGTTTTGCGCCCTGAGCCGAGCAGCCCCGTGCCCGTCGCGGGCCGCGTGCGGGGCCGCTGCAACGCTGCGGGCACCGGCGCCTGCAGCCCCACGCGGCAGCGCCGGCAGCCGCGGTGCCCGGCCGGGACCGGGGCACCCAGCCGGGGTTGGGATCCGGGAGCATCCCAGCAGTGCCCGGGTCTCTGTGGCGCGGAGGAAGATGCTGTTGGGGCATTGCTGCAGCAGCAAGTGGGATTCCCACAGTGGGTGGAATCCCGGGACACTGGGGCTGGTGGAGCCGCATGGAGGAGCCGGAGATGCTGCCGGGAAGGGGCGAGATGCGTCCCATGGGAGCTGGCACCGTTCAGGGATGCCCGGGAATGCCTGGGCTGACGGCAGCTGCTTCCCATGGCCAAGGCCGAGGTGTTGGCAGAGGGATCCTGCTGCGGAGCCGGGAGCGGCGGCAGGGTGGGAGGCCTGGAGGGGCTGGGCCCACGGCGGGAGCCGGGAACCGGGAACCG